CACTGCAAGCTCCGCCTCCCGGGTTTATGCCATTCTCGTGCCTCAGCCTCCCGAGTAGCTGGGACTACAGGCGCCCGCCGCCTCGCCCGGCTAGTTTTTTGTATTTTTTAGTAGAGACGGGGTTTCACCATGTTAGCCAGGATGGTCTCGATCTCCTGACTTCGTGATCTGCCCATCTCGGCCTCCCCAAGTGCTGGGATTACAGGCTTGAGCCACGGCGCCTGGCCAACAAATACAATTCTAAAATCGCACTACATTTAACAATTTTGCTTGGAATCTTAAAATATGACTGAGTTTGTTTTGAGGGAAGTCAGATACTTAAAATAATACACAGTTGGCCCTCCACATGCACCCATGGATTCAACCAACTGTAGAAGGAAAATATTCAAGGAAGAAAAAACTGGGTCTATACTGAACATGTACAGATTTTTTTTTTCTTGTCATTATCCCCAAAACAATACAGTAAAACAACTATTTTCATAGCATTTAGATTGCATTAGGTACTGTTAAGTAATTTAGAGATGGCTCATATGGGAAGATGTACATCGGTTTGTATGTAAATACGACATCATTTTATATGAGGAGCTTATCTGTGGGAGGTCCTGATACCAATCCACCATGGATACCGAGGGCAACTGTATTAAGCAACCAAGTTAAAATTGTTTTAGTCCATCTTGCCATACGCCTGATTACAGCCCCAAAGTTTGACTCACGTTTACCTATGGACCCACTATGGCCAGTCCCCATATTCCTGACCCCGTGCCTTAGTTCCATGTAGCTCTGGCCCTTAAGGACAGCGTGGTCCTCTATAACACTCCAAAGAGGCCCATGTTCTCAACCAAGGACTGTTATACATGTAAGGACAAAAGTCACAGGAAATAATTCCTGAAGATTTTGAAAAGGTAGGTGGTTTAGAAGAAATTACTTGGCTACTGATCATCTTTGCAATTAACCTGAGACACTAATTTTCAATTTTAAATTTCAAAGAATCTGGGTATTTTCCTTACTAATAATGCACCTTACAGAGAGGAGAGGCTGGGTGTGGTGGCTCACGCCTGTAATCCCAGCACTTTGGGAGACCGAGGCGGGCAGACCACCTGAGGTCAGGAGTTCGAGACCATCCTGGCCAACATAGTGAAACCCCATCTCTACTAAAAATACAAAAAATTAGCCGGGAGCAGTGGCGGGCGCCTGTAATCCCAGCTACTCAGGAGGCTGAGGCAGGAGGATTGCTTGAACCCGGGAGGTGGAGGTAGCAGTGAGCTGAGGTCACGCCACTGCACTCCAGCCTGGGTAACAGAGTGAGACCCTGTCTTAAAAAAAAAACAAAGACAAAAACAGAGAGGAGAAACAGGAGAGATGCAGCTACACTTGCACTAAAAAGGATGGAGGCTGACAAGTTTTATTTATCTCAGCAAATTTAAAGATTAAATCTCTTATCACTAATAAAATCTTCACAGATACAATCAACTATATTACTTTCAGATCGCTGAAAACTGCCCATGTTTCTAAGATTCACAATTAATGAGAAATGGTTAAAGATATATCTTCCTTTCAAACACTCAATACAAATTTGTCCATCTTGTTAAATAATACAACACCCTTTTATCTTTTACCAACTCCTACCCCCGACTAAAAACAAAAACTTAAGAAATTTTGAACAATAAAGAATTAGGAGGGTGGGGATAAACACAATAAAATTATATGGCTTTTTTTGCTGACTCAACTAAAAATGTTTCATTCACAATAATATACAATCACAGGCAGAGGTTAACAATGTAGAGAATCTAACCTATAATATTCATGACTGGCAGTTTTAAAAAGCCAATGCAAAGTTAAGAGAACTTTTCAACAAAACAAAACACAACAAAAAAACCCTTACCATCCTGACTGCTTTTAAGCTCCTCACTATATTTCTTCTGTAAAGCCAACTCTGCTTCAAGTTGTGCAATACGTCCCTGGGACAGCTGCCTTCCAAGCTCTTGATTCTCCTGGATAAGCATTCGACACTTCGCCATTAACTTTTTCCCTGTTTGGCTACAAAGGAAAGAGCCATCCATCACAAAATGAAGACAAAACTCTGTCTTTGCTTACAATTATTACAGTGATAGATGTCACACATACAAACATAACTATATCACAGCAGATGCTTCCCCATAATTACCATCTTCTTTTCTGGGACACATCCATCTTCTGCATTTCAGTATTTTGCCAACACAGCAGCAAAAATAAACCCTAAACAAAAAGTGCCCAAACAGCTACACCTTGTTTCTATTGTATCAATAATCAATTCTGAAATCCATCTGTTTTCATCTCAAATTATCATCTGAAATGGAAACAGAGCCAGTTTTAACACACACCTTGGCTATACCAATATTATTACACTAAGGAATCTAGTGCTTTATCAGAAAAGTTCTTGAAAAGGTACATGCAACATCAATCACAAATGCTTCTCTATGAAAATCAGTACCTACAAATAAAAATGCATGAGAGTATATTTATTCTTGCTAGAAAAAAACATTTAATAAGGATTTTCCTTAACAGGAAGTCCTCCAGCATGGGCAACATAGTGAGACCCCAACTCTACAAAAATTTTTTTGTAAAAATTAGCCAGGCACACATGCTTGTAGTGCCAGCCTCTGGAAAGGCTGAGGTGAGAGGATTGCTTAAGCCCAAGTGGTTGATGCTGTGACCATGCCACTGCATTCCAGCCTGGGAAACAGGGACCCTGTCTCAAAAAAAAGGAGGAAAGAGGGAAGTTTATGGTACATCCATCTTCCATAACTCTCAAGAATATATCTATTATATTAATTGAGGCACATTCAACAATTAAGTTTTTTTTTTTTTTTTTAAAGACTTTATTAACAGAAAAGATCATCCTTTTGACACAAAAATAAGACCAGTGGTCACGTACCACAATTCAAACATGCAAATATCTGCCAATCTAGGAGTGTCACACTTTCCACAAATTAGTTCCAAATGCTAGTGAAACCTATGTGCACAGAGCAATTGCAAATATGTAATGAAAAGCTCAAATGTTTCCCAATAAAATTTTACTGCTTTTCTTTAGCCTCAGCAATAAAAGGAGAAATTATTTGCTTGTTCTTGTAATTATTTATGAAGACAAAAAGAAAAAAATGATCACTTTTAAAGGGATCTAATAATTGTGATATTTACCTTTGAGACTTGGATAAAGACAGTGTGACATTCTTGTCCTTGGGGTAAGTTCAGAATGACCTTATTGGTTAAAATGTTTTTTAAATTCTAGTCTTTCCTTCTCCTAGTGAGGCTTTCACTTGCCTGACACACTACTTCAGTATGCCTTAGAACTTTAAAAATGAGAGCATTTTGTAAATAATTGTCAGTCTTTGAAGAAGTGTTGCACGGTTCTTTCACCTACAGCATAATTTTTTTTTTTTGAGATGGGGGTCTCACTGTGTTGCCCAGACTGGAGTGCAGTGGCGTGATCTCAGCTCACTGGAGCCTTGATGTCCCCAGGCTCAGATGATCCTCCCACCTCAGCCTCAAGAGTAGCTGGGACGATAGGTGTGCACCAGCACCCCCAGCTAATTTTTGGAGTTTTAGTAGAGATGGGGTTTCACCATGTTGCCCAGGCTGGTCTCAAACTTCTAAGCTCAAGTGATCTGCCTACCTCAGCCTTCCAAAGTGTTGGGATTACAGGTATGAGCCACTGTGCCTGGCCGCATGTTTTCTAACCTAATGTAATTCAAGGAAGTTTGGAATTAAGCTTTCTTCCAGAAAATATGTGAAGAGTTAAACCTGGGTTACTACTGCTCAGAGGAGCCGAAGGGTGAAAGGTCACCAGTGAGCATGTGGTAAAGGCTTTATTCTTTCATAACATTATTAGCTGGTGTTCTTGTTCGTTGCTACTGTAGCTCCAGATTTCCACCATTTCCCATAAGCACTCTCAGGCGTTAGCCTCCACTGAACATCCACTTAGAAATTAAACAGTGGGAAAATGAGAGATATGCAAGACTGTCAAAAGCGATGGAATTCCTGCCTATGCGCTCAAAACTATCTTCTTGCAAAGTATATCTATTTCATTGGTGTTTACAACTAACCTTCTTATTGTATGAATTTTAAAGAGTGGAAAAAGACAACTATAAGAGACATTAATTTGTGACCTGACTTAACCCCATATAAAAATGTCACAAATTCTAATGCAAAAAAGGGGTTCGTTTAAAAAGTCATACCTTTTAATAAATAAATGTCTAAGCTAAGATAATCGTATCACATTTAAAACTAGTGATTACTGAAATAAATTTTAACAAAACCACAGTTTTGAAAAAATAATTTAATTACAAGTAATTGTTTCTGAAATAATTTTTTAAAATTACAAACAAAAAAACCCATTCCTAAAATCAATTAACCCACACACATAATAGAAAGCACTTTGAAAGATACACCTCTAAACACTCTAAAATGTGTGCATTCTCACATGAATGAAATATTTTAACTGAACTGGACAGGTTATTTCTGAGAATCTTTCTTCCTCAAAATTAAAACAAAAAAACAGTAAAGCGAAGACACACGTGCGCACGCACACACCCCAAAGCAAAACCCATTCCACTACTGGAAATATTCCAGACAGGGGATTGCCTGAGCCATTATTTGTTTCAAATTAGTGATGTATTTATAGTACCTGATACACTCTGGCTTACAGCCAATTTTACAGAAAAAAATCAATTTATAAGTGATTTAAATTATGATTCCTTAATATAATGGAAATACACTATACAACCATTAAAAATGTAGTAGTCTAGATACACTAAAAAATGGAAAAATGCCGAAGAGACCAACTAAAAAAAAAGGTGCAACTCATCTGTGTTTATGGTATGATCACATTTGTTTAAAATAATATACATAAAATGACTGTATATGCATAGAAATTATCTTGATAATACCCAAGAAAAAGTAATAGCAGTTACTGCTCCTGGAGAACAGAATGAGGATGTCCAGGTAACATCAGAGAGTGACACTCACTTTTCATCTCCCCCTTTCTCTATAGTATTTCAATTTTATATATAAGCATGTATTATCTTATTATTAAAAGAGAAAATTTTAACAATGACAAGAAAAAAACCCATAGAACTCATGACTGTTATCTAAGTGGCAAAGAAAGACGCCTGCTAAATTTGATACATGTTAATAATACATTTTGTGAATTACTTTTCTACTAAATTATACTAAAAAGATACTTAGGCCATTTCTACTGTGAACTTAAAATGGCATAAAATATATACAAAAGCGTTAATGCAAGCACATAAGCTAATTTCAAACAGATCCGGTTACTTACCCTCCAACCCTCACAAATAGTGAGAATTTTAGAAGCAGGTTTCTTGCTGAAAAGTCACACAAATCACTTCTTCAACCCACCCTCTGCCCCACAATCAGTTCCCTAAAGCACAAACATATAAGATACTTACAATTGATTTGAATGATTAAGAGAGAACTTAAGTCACCCTTGTTAAAACTGCACTTAAACGTTGGGACAAGCTGGAACATTTATCTTCCACTCATCTTAGACTCCATTATCACCAAGCGAAAATTTGAATTGGTGACTTATAGAATGATCTGACGGAAAAAATTCACCTCCAGGATTGGATGGAAGCATGAAGAAAATAATGCCTCATTTATCTAAATGATTAAATGAATTTGCTAGAAATGATCACTATACCTTTTTTCAATTCACAAAATGTCTTACTTAGGCCAGCCCACAGTTCCAACACATTATCTTCTGGCAGACACCCTGTGAAGCTGTCCCGCAATTACTTTCTACTGCAGTACCCTGGGACAAAGTGTCATAAAAGTAACCAGTGTCAAGTCTCCTTGTCTTTTATGTAGGTCTTTTAAAAATGAGGCACAGCGCCTTTTCCTTCACTTTGAAGAGCACAGCAACAGTATTTCCAAAATGAATCTGCTCTCCACAGGCCCCCCCCAAATTAAAATGTTAGAGTACAACAAAATCATCATAATATTCTTTGAACTTAAAAAAAAAAAAACCAACTATTTCAAGGCACATTTAATTTAATATCAAGAGTGCAATACAAAAGGCCCAAATACAATGAAGGAACACATTCCCCCATTAACACCAACGACAATGCTCTTTTAAACATGTGCCTGTTGAATGGAATGGGGATTTCATAAAATTCACTAAAAAAATAATGCAGTGAGTGTCATCACAGCTAATATCCTTATACAATCTAGTTGTGAAATGAATGTTTATAATGCTTCAAACAGTTTCAACCTGAAGTTTGATACCACACCTTCATGTTTGTACAGTCCTCAGTAAGATAATCTACAGTTTTGCAACCATTGAAAGAACAAACCATTGAATAAAACCACATTGATTAAGGCTCAAGCAAGTAATATAGAGCCCCAAACTAAATGGTTAAATATATGCGCTACTTGTACGGACATCTATTATTTGATTCTCTCGTGACTATTAAAAGTTGGTTCTCAGCAAATAAACCCTTTAAAGGCAAAATTCACCTCATTTGAGTTTTGACCCAGAAGTTCAACAACAATCATGAAGTCCACAGTCTTATTGGCAAAACTGATACACAGTGTCTCTAAGTCACTATGCTCAAGGTTAAGAGCGATGCATATTCCATTTTTACATTTTACTGGAATTTTACATGTTCAATTCATGATTTAAAATCTCTAGGTTTTCATTCCTTCAAACTGTCTGAAGACACAGTGTGCCACAGACTTAAGACTTCTGTTTCTCCCTCTATTTTCTTCAAACAGAAACATTTCTCAAGTGTCTACATGTTCTAGAAGGGGAATTTTTCGGAGGTGGCCACTTCTTCGGAATAGTCCGACGCCATCAGGCCTCTGAAGCAAGGGGAAGGGGAAAAGAAAAAAGCTGAAACACAAGGTTCATCTGGTAAGTTTTACATTAACCATTACAAGCTGGACAGTGTAAGAATGTGGCTTTTTTTGGCTCAAAAAGTCTGAGTCTTGGTGTGGAAACGAGTACTTGGCTGTCCCACCACAGCTTTCTCGTAGTGGGACTGTCAGGGAAGTCTTGACTGGGGAGTATGATTTGTTTACCTATCAGGCGTAAACTTCCAGGCACTCAGTTCATTTTGGGCTTGTTCCAGTTTGTCTTTAGTCTGTTCCAGTTCACCTTTCATTTTTAGGAAAAACAAGTTGATCGCTGGGTCTACCATTGTTGATCTCAGTTGGGCAACGCTCGGCTGCTGGACTTGCTTGAGGTACTGGATTTGAGTCTGTGCAAAGCAAAAGAAACAATTACGACCAAATCAAAGGAAACATACATAAGAAAGTGGGGAAAACTCCCTCCATTCACTTGATTTACCAACTCTTTCATTAAGTCCTCCCCTCTTTGATCCTGAAATTCTCTAGAAAAATCTTAAAACTTTCTCGAAAAAGTACAGATTAAAAACTATTTGATGAATATGCTAATTACCCCAATCTGATCACTATACATTGCATGTATTGAAACATCACTAGTAGTCCTTGAATATGTACAAAAATTATTTGTCAATTAAAAAATAACTAAGGTTATTCGTTTAGGAATTGAGGCCATTTGATTACATCTCCAAATCTGGATCTTAAAGGGGCTACATACATTTTACTTTACAATCCAAAATTACCAAAAAAACAAACAAAAATCAACATTATATTTACTAAAAATGCTGACAACCCACTGGAAAAAAGCAAAGTTTAAAATATTAATTACCTAAGAGTTAATGAAGTCTTATGGTTTGCTTATTTTAATTTTTTGCCTATGGAAATTATTCTATGTAAAGTCCCCTAAAAATACATCAGGTGAAAGATTATAACTTAAAATACACATTTGCATTTCTAAAGGAAAAAACATACAGTACTCATAGCTACAAGAGTTGCCGTTACAACTTTATAAAAGCAAAACTCTATAGGACCTTAAGCCAAAATAAAGTATAATTCGTATTTTTTCTCCCTCTGAATAGATTTGAATCATAGAATTGTAAAGCTGGAAAGTAACTAACCTAACCCAAACTGCTTATTTTGAGATTAAATAACCCAACTGTTTAGTTCAGTGCCATAGCTGGGACAAGAACTCTAGTTCTCCAGCCTTCTGATTCCCAGTCTAGAGCTTTTTCCATCACACCGGAACCCTTCTACTTACATATGAAACCTTCAATTTCGACTTCAGTTGTACTATTTACTAGAACACTAAAAATACATTTCTAAAATATGAAATATAGTTATTAGCATTAAATTCATCATTTTCTTCATACTCAAAGTAGATCCGGCCCAAGATCTAACTCCATACTAAGGCTTAAACAGAATTACAGTTGAAATTTTCTAACATAAATTTAGTAAAGGAACAAATATACTAAGTAGTTTGGGAATATATTTGTTCCATTGAGCAAAAATCTACTACAACTGCATAGTCAATGTGAAACCAGCTGCTAAGATAACTTAAGAGAGCAAGAATAAACCATGACTTACAGTGCACTCCATGTACTGACAAGACTGATTAAAACAGTCTACAACACTGACTGAGACTCAGTTACTATTTAGCTTTACAAAGACCCAATAGTCAACACTTTCAATCATGAAAAGAGAGGTGAATCTGACTAGAATAAATTCCATGTTCTACAGAAGAGAACACTGAGTAAAGTGTTTTCAAAGTTAGTTTTATTCCTAAATCTATTTTGCGTTGGTTGGCAAAAGACTAAATGAAAAATAGAAATACCACTGAGGTGAACAAAAATGATAGATTTTACTTACCAACAAAATACCATATAGTTAAGAACACAGTATATAGTTAAGACTATAGTAACTATATGGCTAACTTATGCCTTACACTGAAAACTGACTACTGATGTACTTGGCAAAGACTGCACATAGACAATCAAATAGATGACTTAGTATACTGGACAAACAAAAGATCTACAAAAACAAATTGACTCCTGACGATGTATTTTATTTTTTCTAAGCTTAGCTTAATTTGAAACACCAAGAGTAAAAGCAGCAGCTCTGTTTTAAAGGATAAGTACCTAATACAAAACTTTCCACTATTTTTCACTCGCAAGAGGGTAAGAAACCCTCCTTCTCAGGGCCAATCCTTTCAACCATTTGCCTAACCTATTCCCTCCTACCTCCTAAAGTACACAACTCCCATTCTTTCTACTCTTTAAATTCAGTTTCTCTCACTTCCCACTTGACAGTTCCTCTACAGCAGGGGTATCCAATCTTTTGGCATCCTTGGCCAACAACCTCTTAACTGCCAAATATAACGAACAATTTTAAATTCGTATTGTACAGAACTTTATGTACGCCTTTGTTTTAATCACTTTATATTTTGGGGAAGGAGGAGGGAATGCTGGATTTCCTCAGTTTTCCTAACACCACACTCTACTCTTCTTTTAAAATTTGATCTTTGTAGGCTCTATCCTAGTGCATTGTTACTCAAACGAGATAAGCCTGAAACTGTGATTCCTCCCTAGATTTTTTCGTTCCTTCCACAACAGCATCCAAACTAAACAATTCCTATTGACTGTGCCTCCAAAACACCTACTCTGTCCTGTCTGCTATTACCAGTGGCTTAATTTATTTCATCTGGACTATTTTAATAGCCTCACAATTGGTTTTCTTGCTTAAAGTCCTGTTCCACTCAAATCCATCTTTCATACTCAAGCCAGAGTGATCTACCTAAAATGTGAATCTAAATCTGACCCTCACATACATCTCTTGCTCAAAAATTCTTCAGTGGCCCCCTCTCTTCTAGAATACCCAAGATTCCAGGCCTGATCTCATGTTTTTTCACACTCACCTGAAACTTCATCCTCATCTGCCATATATAATCTTGCCCTTTCCTTGTGATTTTGCTCCTGCTGCCCTGCCCTGTCTGCAAAACCTCACTTGTGTTATAACTGGAAGAATAGGAAGTTGTTCAGCGGGCCTGTGCAGGTGACAGCTGTTTAAAGAAAAAAAAAAAAAAAACCTGGAAAAGGTTAGGTTCCATTATAGTTGAAATAACCTTAAAATCCAGGTCGGTCGGGCGCGGTGGCTCAAGCCTGTAATCCCAGCACTTTGGGAGGCCGAGACGGACGGATCACGAGGTCAGGAGATCGAGACCATCCTGGCAAACACGGTGAAACCCCGTCTCTACTAAAAAATACAAAAAACTAGCCGGGCGAGGTGGCGGGCGCCTGTAGTCCCAGCTGCTCGAGAGGCT